GGTTAGCCAGCCAACGCTCATTTCTGAATTTTGTGATCCACTGATAAGCCTAATGTGGACCGACTGCTATTCTCTTGTACCGTCTAGCTAGCGATGGTGCTATCTCCAAAGCCTAAATTATTTGAGAATAAAAGATATCTTGTCAACCATAGAGGTTTAACATTTATAAATAAAGAGAGAAACCTCACAATTAAAGGACGTGACAAAAACCCTACTTATTGCTACGCTTCACATTAAACCTCGATTGTGACATAAGCATCAAAGTGTGTGTGGTTAGCATCACATTGATATGTAATCCTTATTTTCTATAGATCTATCAAATCCCTATTTATTCTTGAAGATTAGAGCAAATTTGGTAAATCATGAAACGTCAAATTTCTCATCAACATTTGGCGTCGTCTATGGAGAGAAATTCGAGGAAGTTGTGGTAAACCAACAGAAAGATAATTTAAGCAACACAAGCTAGAGAAGAAGTATGGTAACCCTGATTTAATCTTAGAAGGTGAGCAACAAGATCTTTATGGGTGCGATTACAATGAGATGAGAACATGTCATGTCATTGGCTCGGTATCTCTAATGGATAACAACTTAACTGCCAGTAGAATGAAAACATGTTATACCATGGGATCACATCAAGCAACCAGTTCAGTATCTCTTGTGCATGACAACTCGATCAACGAAGGAGAAAAGGTAGACCCCAACCTTAGTGGCATGGTGTCAACCGCCTCAACGAAAGGAAAGCCCACTGAAGATTTGGAATCAATCCCGCTGACATCCAAAGAGAGATGAGTCAACACTAGGACAAAGCTAATTGCTAAGAAAAGAACGGGTCTCATCAATTTTATCAGAAGCAATGCTGATATATTCACATAGTCACACGAAGACATGCTCGGTAACGATGGAGAAATCATGGTGCATGGACATAATATAGACCGAGACTTTAAACCAATAACGCAGAAGTGTCACACCTTCAACCAAGCAAGGAATGAAATTGTAGCCGAGCATGTAGAATAATTATTAAAAGCAAAATTTATTTGAGAAGTTTATTATCCTCAATGAATTCGAGAGGTTAATTATCCAACATAGTACTAGTAAAGAGAGTCAATGATAAGTGGAGGATGTGTATTGACTTTACGAATCTAAATAAAGCATGTCCAAAGGACAGTTTTCCTATGCCAATTATAGATCTTCTAGACGTGAGATGCTGAGTTCCATGGATGCTTATTCCGAATACAATGAAATTAAGATGTAGTTGTCCGACCAAGAGAAAACTTCTGAGTTCATGTATGTTCCTCCTTTAACCTTTACCATATATATTTTTTTTATTTAGATTTTAATCTTTTTAAACATAGAAAGTTTGACTTTAGTAGAAATACTCCACATATTTGATTCTAAAACGACACATCATGTGGTTGGTCCCACATTTATTTTTTATTAATAAAAAATCCCTGAAATACGGAAAGATCTAAAACAACTTTTTAAACTTAACTTTTATTCATTTTACATCATTTAAGATCCCAATATCAGAACAAAAAGACTACCGGACTTACCTTCCACGAATTGAGCGAGGCTATTGCGGACGAAGACTGTCGGATAGTGGACGGCCACTGCGGGTTGACATTTTACGGGCGACGAGTGGCATCTTGGGGTGGAGGACTAATAGATCGGGGCAAAAATCTATTTTTATTTTATTGATATAAATTGATCTAAGATGAATAGAAAAAAGATCAAGCAAGTTACTAAATGAACTAATTGATTCTATACTATAAATAAAAATTTGTACATTACTCCATTGGCAAATCAGTGCAGCTGGCACCGTGTCACAATCGGCGACGACGGATTGAGTTCATACTGGGCGGCGAGTGCTGCGGATGGCGGGTGGTGGATTGAAACGGTGGAGGCAACAACCGATGAAATTTGGGGTGAGCAGTGTTCAAAAAGGAGAAGTGGGGCTGCTAGTGTGAGAAATGAGATGTGAAGCTGCTGGTGTGAAAAATGAGGGGTTGCAACTTTCCAAACTCTAAGTTAATCTACTTCAAATCACAAGATTAGGACCTAAATTTCTCTAAATTTTGTTACGAATAATCATATTTACCCTAGCCTATCTACGAATTTTAGATTTTAGATCTATAAATTTCAAAATCTACATCAACAAAATTTTAATAATTTTTTATATATCTACTTTCAAAATAGTATTAATATTTAAATTATATTTATGTTGTTTAAATTTGATTCTGATTAATTGATTTTAGATATAGTTGATTCCTACTCAATTAAGATCGATTGTTTTTGCTTTCCATTCTAAAATTAAGCATGTATACCTAAATTGTTATAGGGGTATATTTGTCTACAAAATTATCCAGAATTCTAAAAAAAATTTATTTAGTCATTATGGTAATATGTAATAAATTTGACAATTTTTAAAGCGCTTTATTTATTTTAGTCATTCTTGCCGTTGCCCTTAAAAAACTTCAAAGCGGTAGTGATGCATATTTGTAATTAGTTGATGATTGTTGTTTTTATTGTCACTGATTTGTTTACAATATTTTTTTTACACAAGTCAAATGATTGGATTTAACTTATTAGGAATCTCTAATTCATATTTTTGTTCTAAAGTTGATCCTTCTCTAGAATGTGGGAATATATATATATATATATTTTTTTTTTAGAATTGACAACTTTAGGCAAGTGTGGCAGCTTAATTTTTTATTGGGTAATTGTAGTGGGTAGCAAAAATAATTTATGTATTTCAAAAAATGTCACAACTTTTCAAAATTTCAAATATAGCAAAATATTTGAATTTTTATTATTTTGATTTTACTCTACGATATCTGATATACATCCAATGTATATATGTATTTGACATATATCCAATGTATATTTATATCTGATGTACCTTTGATATACATCAGATGTATCCATGATATACATTATCAGATGTATATATTATACCTCTAATTTATGATATACTAAATATATTTGTAACTGATATACTAAATATAAGATATATCAAATGTTTAATTTTCAATGGTATATCAACTGTTATAAATTCTAGTTTATGATTGCAATTTCTTTTTATGAAAGAAATTTATCATTACAACTTGCTGATTGATATACTAATATTATTAAAAATGTTTATTACTATATCACTGCCATTTATTCTATATTAATTGATTAGATAATAAATATAAGGGATATCAATTACTTAAATTTATAAAGTATATTAGATTTTTAACTTTTTTTTTTGGACGTACATGATACATATAAACCTTTTATACAAATAACTTTATATTTCAACTTTTTTTTTTGCATAATTATTTTCATATGAAAAAATAGTTGATATAATAGTATTATATCAACACACATGTATCATAGTTATACTAGTAGATATCAGGGTTATATCAGAGGTATATCAGTGGTAAATTAGAAGCATATTAAGTATATATCAAATATATCAGTGTTATATTAGTGGTCAATCATATAATCATATATAAGAAGTTATATTAGTAGATATCATAGTTATATCAATGGTATATCATTTGTATATCAATGGTAAATTAGAGACATATCAAGTATGTATCACATATATATAAATATTGTATCGACGTGGTAAATCAATGATTATCATATATATCAGTGGTAAGTCATGTTAGAAGTTCAATGGATATCATAATTATATCACAAGTAAATCAATTCTATATCATTGGTATATCAAAGACATATATCAGTAGTCATATATATTACGCATATATATCATAGATACATATTAGATATATTGCAAGGTAAAGTTGTAATTTTTAAACTAGACCTCGGTTTTTGTTTAAAAAAATGCTATATTTGAAAAAACTAAATGTGGTTGCTATTTTGATTATTTTACTAAATATTTTTGCCTGCCCATTTTTATTTTTATTTAATTTATTTTTTGAATATCGATGGCTAGATATTCAACAAAATTTAAAAAACAAATGCTCAATTAAATGTGAAAGGTTCACTGAATGTTGGGTTTAAACTAGAGCACGCAAGGTTTAATATTCACAGAGGGGCATATGCCAGCAAGCAAAGGTTAACTACTGATCAAGTGAGCACAACACTAATTGTAATTTTAGCAAAAGAAGAAAATGAAAAACTAATGTAAATCCAATTTGTATAACTTCAAACTTAATAATTCTACAGCTTGAACACAACACAAACTAAAGAACTCCATATTAAAAAAACTCTCAACTTGAACACAGATTAAACAACTTTAGATCAATTAACTCCCCAAATTAATTCTCCAGATTTAACAACACGAGGCTTGTTACCGTCCTGCAACTTGAATGCCCCCACTGTATTTAGCCCCTACATGAATCCTTCCTTGGTTGTAACGGTTAAATTTTAATTACAATTTTTTACTATTATTTTAAAATTTATAATTATTTTATATTTGTCATAATTAACATCAATTCCTATAAAAAGCTCGTTTAGCTTATACTTTTTTTCCTTTTTCGAGTTCAACAAATGTGAAAGTAAGCATCGAACTTGCAACCTTAGAAATTGTAATAAATGCAACATTTACTAAGCTATTATATTAGCAGTTGAGTATTGTACGAGATGAATACATCAATTGAATCTAAAATATGAGGAAGACTTGAATAATATTTATTTTAAGGACATTGTGTGGTATTAGCAATATAACATTTATGATATTTTTATAAAAGTTTATTCCATGCAACTTAATTTTCATATTTTTTCTGGCATGAATTTGTACTCTCCATATTGTAATAATATTTATGTTATTTTTTATTGTAATCAATCTCAATTGATTCCTTCTCTATAACTTTTATCCTAATTTCTCTATTCAAATAAATATTTTTTTTCTTTCTTTTTTATCTTAAAAATATTAGTGTAAGAAATAAGTTACTTTTATAAACCCCTTAAAAGATACCATGCTCGGGAATACATTTTAAAATATAGCAAATGTTACATTTCAAGTCGAGAGACTATAAATTATTACAAATTAACCAAAAAAACAGTTTATTTTATTCCTCCATACTAAGAGATGCTCCATTATCCGTTGCGGTAAAATTAAGGATGATCGTACTCGCCTTTATTGCCCTAATGCATTATCAAAGTCAATTGGTACATCATGAGTAATGACACAATGCAACTAAGAAATTTCTATGCATGTTTCTAATTACTTCTTTTTAAAAAATAGAACGAAGGGAGGGTATGTAGATGGGAACAATTATAATATTGATGAGAAATACCTTCAAAGTAAATAACGAAATACTGTGAAAATGAGGTATCTTACCATGGCTCGAGATTTTGGTACTTGCTTGGTAACTCATCACCATAGTATGTAAAGAACATATCGGTTTTTACTGCACCAGGATGGAGTGTAATAATCGCCATACCACCTGGTAGCTCTTTTGCTATTGATTTGGTTAAGCCTTCAACTGCCCACTTTGACGCACAATATGCTGAAATCTGCAAAAAGGGCATACCATCAACAATAAAACTTTTTTCAACCTCCATAGAAATTTTCAAAGTTGTTTATATATACCATGGCACCTCCGCTATTTCTCCACGCAGAAGATATGTTAACTATAACCCCATTGTTTCTTGCAATCATTAGAGGAATGAAATGACGTAGCACATTGGCTATCCCTTTCACATTGGTATCGATAACGTTATCAAACTCGTGCAAAGGAATCCCCCAAAACTTTGATTTTTTATTAATCACACCTGCATTGTTCACTAAAAAAAATAAAAAATAAAATCATAACTGAATATATTCCCTAAATTTTTAGTTTTCATTTATTTTCTAAAGTTTATTTATTTTTTAATTTTTGTCATTTCTTTCTCTAAAATTTCTCTATTTAATAATTTTCTCTCTCTAAGTCGTCTTCTCTCTAAAAATTACGTTAAATTTTATCTTCAACCTTTAAATATTAATCATTCAAAATAATTTTTATTTATTGTCACTTTTTCTCTAAAATTTCTCTGTTTAAGATTTTTCTCTCTTTAAATCGTATTCTCTCTAAAAATTATGTCAAATTTTATCTTCAAACTTTAAATATTAATCATTCAAAATAATTTTTATTTAAAAATCACTTGAAAAAGTGCGTAACCAAACAATAAAATAATTATATAAGAATTACTTTCACAAAATCAATTATCATTAAATATCCTTTACTATACCTAAAATCATTCTCAAAAAGTCCCTTAATAAAATAAACTACATATTTAAGTCATTGAAAAGATATAATGTGAAGTACTATACCGATAATGTCAGGAACAAGTTTTCTTTCCAAGACAGCTTGAGATAGCTCTTGAACATTGCTATCCGACGTCTGCGAATAACTAAGATTTTGAATCACTTTTTAAATATGAAAATAGATAAAAAAAAGTGTTCAGGTTTTGAGAAACAAAACAAACCACATCAACATTGTAGAGCAAATGCTTGTCGGGAGAGGAGTTAGAGAAGATGGAGAGTTGTGTTCGAAAAGAGTCGAGTTTGTTCTGGTCGCGAGAGCAGCCAATGATGGTGTGGCCGCGCTTGGCAAACTCGAGCGCCAAGGCTCGACCTATGCCTTTGCTGACTCCGGTGATGAGAATTGTGAGGGAGGGAGGGAGAGATGCTTGTGTTGAACCATTAATGACTTTCTGCATTTTCTCCATTTCTAACCAATGCTTGCCAGATTGTGTGGGTAAGTAAAGAGTTGGGGATAAGCTCGTGGGCACCTGGTTCTAACCTATCCCTCTACAAATCACACGTATTATTGTTAAGAATTTCAAGATTTGGCACAAGATAAATAAAATTGTTTACCCAATTATTCTCCAATTATTGTTATTTGGTAGAAGAAATCTGAATTGATGTAAATCCCAACGCGTTCTAATGCCTCTTCTTTTATTTATAAGCCAACAATTTAACTATTAGTTAACTTGATAGTTGCAGTGTAGGAAGCACCGACACATGAAAATTACTCAAGTGTTGGTGTTGGCTTCGAGACACATGTCAGACGTCTGACACGTTTGGACACGCATCTACATGCGTGTCCTAATTTTTATTTTTTTATTTTAAAATTGGACACGTTATGACTTGGTGGGCCATGCACGGGACACGCTAACAGGTCTAACATGATTAGCTTCTTCTTCATTGTTCCTGTTCGTTTTTCTATCAACTTTCTGCCGATTTTAATCTTCATTTTCTTCGTTGCATTTCTTCCACTTTCTTCTGCCTACCATCCTTTCGCTTCTCAATTTTCACTTGCACGTATTTACGCCTTGATTTTCTTTTTCGTTTCTGTTCCACAAGAATGAGAAGTATAAGAAGTGATAAGAAATGAACAAGAAAAGCCTGAAAGTGGGAGAAGAAAAAGAAGGGGATAAGAGATTATGACTGCATGAAGTATCTTTTCATAAATAACAACTGACAAATTTATTATTCTAAAAGCTGACATTATTTGCTTAAAGACTTACAATGACAGCCATATATTTGTAAATATTTGTGCTATTTTTGTTTTCTAAATCTCTTTCCATCAAATTTTTATTAAAATATTGAATATAGAAAATTCTTGATTGCATTTCTTCCACTTTCTTCTGCCCACCATCCTTCCACTTCCGCTATTTTCATTTGCACGTATTTGCCTTAATTTTCTTATTGGTTTCTATTCGCGAGAATGAGAATTAGAAGAAGTGACAAGATAGGAACAAGAAAAGCATGAAAGTGGAAGAAAAAAGATTTTGTTACGTTTATGTTCTCCCAAATCTCAACAATTTTTATTAAAATATTGAATAAATTCCTCTTTTCTTTATTAAATATTAATAGCTTTGTAATATCTCCATGTTTAAGTAAGTATTTGTTTTTTTTTGTCAATAATGATTACAAATAATATTTATTTAATTAGTATTTGTCTTTTTGCCAATAATGATTACAAATAATATTTATTTAATTTTTATATTGATGTACTTACTTCCATGTTTTAAATTAAAAATCTTATTTTTTTTAGTACAACATGTGACGGGTGGGGATCAAACTCACTGGGGTTTTTCAAGGGTTGAATTGGGTTAGGTTACAAGGGATCTTGGGACCAACCCTAATTTTCAGGTTGCCCATATATAGGAACCATAGGGTTTGAATTGGATGATCAACCCAACCGAACCCAACCCAATATTTTTAGGGTGGGTGGGGTTGGATTTTCGGTTTGTGTGTTTTTTTTAATAATTTTTAATTATCATGGCGGGGACGGGGAGTTGAGATTAAAACTTAATGGACGGCTGAGATTAAGATACAAAATGGAAGAAGATAATGTGAAAACTTTAAATGAAGGGCTAGGATTAACACTAATGGAGGTTAACATTGAAGATAAAAACAGTATTGTATATATAATTAAAAAAATACACATATATGCATAAATTCGGGTTGGGTTAGGTTGACCCGATTTTGTAAAGGTTGAACACGAGACCCGACCAAGCCCGATCGGGTTGGGAAAATCATAACCCAACCCAACCCAAGGCTTCATCTAACCCAACCCAACCCTTACGATTTGGGTTGGGTTCGTCAGGTTCATCGAGTTGTCGGGTGTTTTGAACACCCCTACTCACAACCTCTTGGTTGGAGATATATTTCAATTACTGTTGAGCTATGCACGCTTTGACAAGTAAAAATCTTCTTTAAAATTATTTTCAAAATATGTACACATGTATATTTTTAATTAAAAACATATAATGGGTCTCCAGCGTGTCGTGTCTACTTTTTAGAAATTGACGTGTAGCTTTGTTGTGTCGTATTCGTGTCGTGTGTACGTGTCAGTGCTTCTTAGGTTGTTGTAATAGTTAGCTAGTTAGTGTGCATTATCAAGTTTGTTTAAGTACCTGTGAATTCATTATTCAGATTGATGAGAAGAAGCTTAGACTATCGAGCAATTATACATTTCATAGTGAAACTTTCCTTGAGTTCGATCAAGTGAATCAACTCGATCAGGTCCGATCGATTCGACTACATAGTCCGAGTTTAGGTTAGCTGGTATGATCGATCGGCTGCTCACGCCATGGTTTAGTTGGGTGATAAGCTTTATTTTGTCGACCCAATTCGCACTAATTTCACCCCTAACAACCTAAATTTCACATTTAATAGTTTTATTTCGTATGGTGGTGAAAAAAATTGGTTTATATGTTATTTTGCTCTCTCACTCCATACCAAATGTTTAGCATCCTATTATGATTTCATCAAGCTAGTTTTTTTTGATGTGGGATGAATGATCGAACTTCCGACAAAGGAAGGAGTAAGCTAGTTTATCCTTTTATCTTGCGTCATGGCCAAATCAACATATTCGTGAATTCTTTTAATATATTATGTCAATATTTAATTAAGAACGTTACCAATGATTTTTTAGAATCAAAATTGAAAGATAAATGACAAAATTGAAACTAATTAAAAAGTTCAAATGCCAATAAACAAAAAAAAATCAATATAAGAAGATTAAATTTATAAATAGATGTTCGGAAGTAACCACAAAATTACTTTTGTCATAGCTAAAATCATTTTTATTTTAAAATAGTGAAATTCAACAACAATTAAGTTATTCTTGGAAACTGAACATTACGTAGGAGTTGATTTCTAAGTGAATTTGGTGGAGTAGGGAAGAAAAAATTTATTTTTAAAATAACTTTTTTAATTTAAAGTCCTATTTTAATTTGTTTTGTCCTAAAATGTCGAGAAAATTTTATTTTGATTCTTTCTAATTATTTTTCGCTTTGTAATTTTATTTAACTTTAGTTTTCTCCACTCTCTAACTTTTTTCTTTTATCTAAACTTTTTGTTTCTCCCTAATTTTTTTTCCTCTTTATATTCCTTCCGTGTTTTTTCTCTTAACTTTTGCTTCAAATTTTTCTCCCCCAAAATTTTGTCCTTCTCTATCTTTTTTTTTATCTAACTTTATTTATTTCTTTCAACTTTTAACTATCTATTTCAAAATTTACCTCAATTATTTGGCCCTACCTAAAGTATTTGGTCTATTTTTTTCTGTCTAAAATTTTTATCTCTACGTATATCCATCTCTTGAACTTTTTTTACCTCTATTTTTCTCATTTTTCTATCACTCTTAATTGTTTCTTTTCCATGCAGTTTTGTAGTAATTTGATGGTTTCTAAATTATTTTTTCAAAACAAACATTAAAAAGTACTTTTAATTAAATCAAAATATTTTAAAAATCATGAAATCAAATATACACTTTTACAAAAAGTAATTATAATTAAATTCACTTGGACTAAAATATCCCTTTATATAGATTCAAGGGGTGCCACGGACATTGTTAAGTTGCAAGATACACTTATATTTTATATTTTATTTATTTATTAGGTTTAAATATTTGAATTAAATTCAAATTTAATATTGTGTGATAGGTGGAAGATATTTAAAAATAATAATTAAAATACACAATTTTAGAGGATAATTCAGACTTCACAAAAGGCGTTAATTTAACAGGAAACAAATGAAGAAATCATATTTAACACATGTCTTTCAAGTTTACAACTTCAATTACTCTTGAATCGAATAACTAAAGCCTAGCACTCACGGTAGAGGAATAAGACTTTATTTTTTAGGAATAAAAATTTCCATGCGGAGCGTATGTTATGGATCTTACAAGAGGGTTCCTCTATTTAAAGATTAATTTTATCCTAAAATGAATTATCTCTAATAAAGAATCTCTAACTAATTGAGAAATCCTATTTGAAACATAATTATTTATTAAAGAGTTTCTAATCAATTTATGTCATATTCCTAATTTGGTTACGTGTCTTTTTTTTTCTTTTTTTTTACTAAATAGCATAAAATCCATTATTCTCAATCTTGAGCGTCCTGCCCTAATAAGTATGTCTCCACTTTATTGGTTGAGTTATCTCTAAATAATTAGTTTTAAAAACAAATTAATATTTCATTCACAATTTAGTAAAACAATTAAATAAAATATATTAATTAATTAAACAATGGTTTTAGGGATGGGGCTGGGACATGGTGGAAAATGCATTTCATTCTTGGAGGGAGGATCCAACCCTATATGAATTTTTGTCTATCCCTACCTAGAGATATAGAAATAAAAGTGTTTAGAGATAAAAAAAAAAAACCTTTGAAAGAAAAATCTTTTATAGACTAAATTTTTTAGAGATAAAAGGAAAAAAAAAATTAGAGAACAAAAGGTTGGAAACAAAAATAAGTGAGAAAATCAAAAGATAAAAATAGAAAATTTTAGAAAGAGTAAAGTTGACAGCTAAATAATGTCGCAACGTGATCGTGACGCGGAGCGTCTGACGTCCTCTTTTACGAGTCTCTTAAAATAAAAGATTTTGGAGTTGTCACCAATCACGTTAAGGGTGTGATTGATCACCCAATTAGAAGAAAAGTACATTGGTCTATGCAAATCAGATTGAGTTCGGGAGTCATTTGTGTATAGGAAAGGTATTAGCACCCTAAACACCTGTGAAAACGGTTACTAGTATTCTATTTTTTATTATCCAGTTTATTAAATTATTAAAGATCCACAAAAGTTTATTTATTTTATTTTTAAATGTCTCATGTTTATTAATTCACATTTTAGAAATAAAACATGGGTTAGTATTGATGGGTTACATAAATGTCATTCAAAATATTCAAATTTGTTTCTAGGAGAAATTTAATTTATTTGAGGAATTTAATAAATTCCAAAAAGAGAATGCTACTCAATCTCTCTTTTGTTTTTTTAAGAAAAAATGAGTGACTTTTGAAATTTTTTTAAATTGTTTTATGATA